TTTTTCTAGGCTGCTTCTTACTAATAGTGTTACTTTCATTTGGACGCATTTTAGAGTCTTTTGTATGACGGACGACAAGGAAGACAAAACACTTGAAAAGCAAGAACATTTCATTGAAGTTGCGAAATCGAAGGAAGTTGAAGTTCTAAGTGAGCGGCATCAGTTTCTTGAATTTGCCGGCAACATAGTCCCAGTAACCAAGAGTGGCGATCAGTTGTCTCTTTATTTCCTTCCTTTCCAAGAGAACCGCCTAGCCTTCATGATCAAAGTACTTCTTTTTATTAATACTCTTCTTCCTTCCTGTATTTATTTTTTTAGTTTCGTCAGTTTATGAAATTTTGAAGAAAATGTGGATTTACAGACTCGTCAGCGTGATGACGAGGAAGCTTCCACAGGTGGAAGAATCGCTTTCATGAAGGAACCAAAAACGCGCGCCGAGTCGCTCCCACCACAACAGCCGCTTTGTACACTTGCCATAACACTGCCTAGCTATACTGGTCAAGTGGGTTTTCGCTTGATGTAGTAAAAATCACTTGTATCATTACGGGATTTAGTTACATAAAGGGTTTTTTTTTTGGAAGTATCTCTGGCAGATTTTATATGTTTCCTTATTTTCCAGGAGTCTCCTGTAGTGCCCATTCCGACAGAAACGACACCGTCCATAATGTCGAAATATTCTTACGCTTTAAACGAAGAGGGAGATCCTGAGGGCCTTCCTTTGACTCAAGTTTCGCGGTTGATAGGTGCGGATTGGCACCGGCTGGCTCGAGCTTTAAATGTACCGGACAGTGACATACGGCTAGTTCGGCAACAGCTAGTAGGCAGAGAGCCAATATCAGTTCTTCGAATTTGGCATACCCTCGAAAAAGATGCAGCAACACGTAATTATTGTTGCTAAAAAATTGTTTTTTTTTTCTTTCAGAATTAGATCTAGACTGAAGTTAGACGGGTTTTAGCTGAGGCTTTGCGAAATGCTCTGCGTCGGATCGGGCGTGATGACGTCGTCAGAAGGATTGGAAGTGACGAAGAGTCAGTGGATGCTGATGCTAGTTCAATGTCTTACATTTCTGCTCCATTATCAGCAACCTCTGCTGTCTTGCCTGCAACCGCCCTTTATATTGGGAAACAGACGTTACCTGAAGAGGTAGAAACTTGCTTTTTATACTATTTAGAAATGGGAA